AAAAAAAAACACATACTTAACGTTTTACACGTAACAGATAAACGACGATTTTCTCGTTTTTTTTCAGTGTTTTTGGGTTTTCGTGAATTTCTCAACAACCCCTAAAGAGAATTACATCATCGACCACTCGTATGAAAGCTGAAAATCTCACCTTTCCAACAAGCCTACATACATCTTTGTAGTTTCATCGAGTCGCCTGCTATGAGCTGTAGAAATTGAAAAAAAAAAAACATACTTAACAAAAGAAAATAAATGATAAATTATTGTCGAAAATTGCTCAAAAAATAATTGTAAATAATAATTTATGAATAAATTGTACGAGTTTTTATATTATTCAATAAAAAGTAATGATTAAAATTGATGGTATTAATATGTGTATCACGTAGAATGTAATTAATTATAACAGATGAAGAAAAACACAAATTTAATGAACTACAATATAACAGTAGAATTATGAGTTACAGTTAACAGCAGCAGTTGTTTTTTTTTTGGCGAAAATGAGACAATTATTGCAGATTAGTTGGTGGACCAGAAGATCTCGAATATTAATGAGTTTTTTGTTGTTGTTGCTGTTGCTAATGGTGATCTTGATTAACTGGAGCATTGGGTAATAGATAGCATATGTTTTGAAAGTTTACGTGTGTGTGATGGAGATAGTTGCTGATGGATGGAAAGAAAGATAGAAAGAAATTGGATTATGACCGGAAGTGGGTATTCCGTTGTCGAAAAATCGGCGAAGAGACGTTCGCGTCCGATGCATGAAGATCTTAGGTGGCTTAGTGGGGTGACGGTGAAAGTCGTATCGAGTATAAATACGTCGTGGTGCGATCCAGTAGGCATCAGTTAGTTTTTAACACTAATCCTCGAGTCACCTCATCTCATACTCAGCCACAATGAAAGCTTTCGTAAGTAGAGTTAATCCGTTGGATTCGCTCAAATTCGAATCGTGCAATTAGCTCATTTTGATTGGTTTCTATTGCGATCAGTTTAAATGAAAATCGAGTTGCATTTGAATTTGTCGTCGCAATGTTTTTGATTGTCACTTACTTGTTTTGCAGATCGCAGTAGTCGCTGTTTGTTTGCTGTCCTCAGCAACCGTCTCCAAGGCTGGATACCTTGGAGGCGGCGGCTACGGTGGAGGTGACGAGCACTCGTACGGGGGAGGCAGCGACGGCGGTGGCGAGCACGGGGGCCACGTGGTCTCGCAAACTGTGGAGATCACGAAACCGGTGGCGGTGCCGGTGTACCAGCACGTGGGTGTACCAATTCCTCACTCCGTGCCTGTGCCGGTACCGAAGCCGGTCGCCGTACCCGTGCCCCAGCCGTACCCCGTCCACATCCATGTGCCACAGCCCGTCGCCGTACCCGTCATCAAGACCATCACCATTCCCGTTGAGAAGCCGGTGCCTTAGATGATGAGTGTGATGGATGATTTGGTTTTTGTTTTTTGGGTGGCGCGTCACCATTCGCCCCAACGACTAGTGGGGTTTTTAGTGCTTGCTGTGATGGTAGATGATCTTGTAGACTGGTACCTGGACGGGAATTGGTTTCGGGACTGGGATCTGGACGTGCTTCTCAACGTGAACGGGAACTGGTTTCTCGACTGGATATGGAACGGACTTCTCTACGATG